AAACTCCAAAAAAGGGATTCTGACTCTAGCTCATGAGCCCTCCCAAGTCACAGTAAGGTCCTCAATTAACTGCAATGAGAGCCATGTGTAACGTTCCAATTAGAAGACTATCCCCCACCCTATGCGCCACTTACTGCTTTATAAAAGAAAACATTGTGCTAAAATAAACGTGACCGGGTACACGATAGTGTTACAGCTACTTTGTGAATTTGAGGGGAAACTTAATTATGTTCCCACTGATTAAAAAAAAGTCAAACACTGTTTTCATGAAGAGACATCAATGTCCCCCCAAAGGCTTGCTATTTGCTGTCTCTGGAAGATTTTGAATGGGGGTGGAGGGGGAAGGAAGCATAGCAATTATTCTTCTTCTGCTTCACTTCACAGCCAGGATGTTTCTCTCTCAAGATGTCTCCTGAATGAGACAAGGTACTGTGCAGATTCACCAGGCTACAGATAAAGGAGAAATAATCAAACCAAAGGAAGAAGACAATAGCTGAGGGCAGAAATGAAGCATGAAGTCACTGCCATGGATTCAAGATCTTTGTGAAACACTCCAGGAAAGTGTGGTATCCGGCTTTACCTGGCTCTTGTACAGACCTAAGCTGCCATCAAGACCCCTGACAACTATGGCTGAAATCAAAAATGTATAGGGAAGTATAAGAGACTACTTCAAGGCTGCTTTTACTGGATCTGTGAATTCAGCAAAGCTTGGCACCGCCCCCCCCCCCTTACTTCCATTTTTCCATCTATGATCTTTGATCTGAGCCATTCCCTGTGGTGATCACTTTACAACTAACTACCTCCGGCTCTAGGAAAGACTCAATTCACTGATAAGCATCTTGTGACAAGAGGTGACTGCCACACACTTGCATGGCTTCTTCTTATCATCTTGAAGAGAATAGCCAAATGGTACAGACCTCCTGCCAGGCTGAATCTGTGACTTGAAAATGGTCAACTATGCATAACTTTGGTGTGTGTGTGTGTGTGTGTGCGCACGCGCACGTGCGCTTGTACCGGGCTTGAACTCAGGGCCTGAATGCTTTCCCTTAGCTTCTACTTCAAGGATGGCATTCTGCTACATCAGCTACAGCTCTGCTTCTGTCTTTTTTGGTGGTTTTTGGAGATTTGAATCTTTGGGCTACCTCTGAATAAAGATCCTCAGGTCTCAGCCTCACGAGTAGTTTAGGATTCCAGGTGAGAGCCATAGCCCAGCTATGTATACCTTTCTTTTATCCCCTGCCCCTCAATTCTCCCTATTTAGTCTAAGTTGTCTACACCCTTGAAGATGGCTAGCAATGTACAGAAGTGCCGTCTTCCCATGGCTGGGAAATAAATCTCCTTTCTCTGCCCTTCACCAGGTCTCTTTACTTGACATAAGGGGATGAGCAGCCAGACCTAATCAAGTGGAGAGGCTGGGTCTAGCCAGTGCCATCTTGGCCACGTGGTGGATAGGGAATGGGATTTAACTGACAGATATGAAAAGTAACTCATGAGTCCATCTGCAGTCACCAGCTTTCCAATAAAGACACCCAAGTTCTCTGGCTTCTCTGTTTTTCACAACTGAGTTACTTTTCATACCTTACAACACGAACATGGGACTCCTGAGGTTTGGGCCTGGAATCGAAAAACCCAGTTTCAAAAGATTATCTTCTGACACAATGGTGCAAGAATATTCCTGGTCTTTTAGTCTAGGAAGCATGGATCTGACCAGAAGAACAAAGAGAATGAGAAGCTGTATGTCTGTTCAAGACCTTTTCTCCAAAAGTCATTCAAAACCCACGCAGGAAGCAAAAACTGCAGCTTGATCATTTTGTGTGTGTGTGTGTGTGTGTGTGTGTGATTGCTTAGGGCAAATTGGGGCCTCATGAATTGTAAGTATATGCTCTGCCAACTAAGCTACACCTGCAGCCCTCACTGTGATTTTCAATGCAATGTTTTTAGTAACTAGTGATTTGGGGCAAGTTCTCATGTACTTATTTGCCATGTTTTTTAAAAAAAATATCAAGTTATCTTTTTAATTGTGTTTTGTATGCTCATGAAATAATCCTTTATTGGATATATTTTCTCCCTATTTTCTTCTTAATGATGTTTACCATTCACTCCCTTTTTTCCATTCCCTCCCCTAAGAAATTTTTTCCTAACTTGGGGTTACAAAAGCTTTTTTTTATCTGTATTTTCTTCCAAGAGTTTTAGTTTCAGTTTTTATATGTGGGCCCCAAATAATTTTGCATATTGCATGAGTTAAAGATTAAGATTCACTTTCTAGGAGATCTTGTTTTAGGAAACATTTAAACTCCTTTTAAAGACTCTGGGGACCAGACAATACAAATGGTTAGGGCTAGACATTACAAATGGTTTAGAATCAGATAAAACTCTCCTTTGGACAGGGGTCAAACATACTGCCTATGTACAAAACTACAGACCAATTTTAAATCAGTTAGATCATTCAAAAAGTTTCAAGGCTTGCCTGAGATTTAAAGTGGTTCTGAATAGACAGTATAACCTGGTATTTGGTAAATAGCCAATGAAAATATGCTCTATAAAAAGGCATTTTCATTTTAATCCCAAATTATTCCTATGACTGATTCTCAAATACAATCAAACAGATAGGTGCTGTGGCAGATGCCTATGGAACTAGTACTATTCACAAAACATGTCATCTTGTCTACCTGATGACTAGAAATGAATGTCTTAAGATTATTACTCCTCCACTGTACACAGTCATGGCTTAGTGTAAGCAGAAAAAGATAGTGTGCTACGGTCATGGAGTTTGTTGGAAATCTGCCCTCTGGAACTTGTCAGAACTCACTCTAGGGTGTAAGAGAAAATCATTCACTGAGAAGCAGCGCAAGGGAATCACTCTACTGCAAAACTGCCAAGAACAAACAGAAACAGCAGCCAGAGAAAGCATCCTTAATGTCTTGAGAAGCTGGCTGCTTAGCAGGCCAGAAAAGAAGCCTTTCCTCCCAGTGTGTTCCCTTGGTAAGTCATAGCATGCTATTCTTGCAATGAGGAAAAAAAGAGACTAGGGAAATGGAAAGATACAAACGGACTTGGCCACACTAGAGAAAGCATGCTTTGTCTGGAGAAAGTAGGTTGTACTTTTCCTTAAACATTTATTCTAAGGGAATGGAGGAATATCATTCCTTGGTTTTTCAGTTTTCCAACAAAAGGCAATAGTTTTGTGTTTTGATTTTTTTTGTTTTGTTTTGCTAGTCCTGGGGCTTGAACTCAGAGCCTGGGCCCTGTCCCCTAGCTTCTTTTGTTCAAGGCTAGCACTATATCACTTGAGCCACAGCGCCACTTCTCACTTTTTCTGATTATGTGGTACTAAGGAGTTGAACCCAGGGCTTCATGCATGCTAGGCAAGCACTCTACCACTAAGCCACATTCTCAGCCCTTTGTTTTTTAGGTATGAAACCAAGCTGGGCACTGTTGGCTAATCAGTGGCTCACACCTGTAATCCTAGCAACTCAGGATGTTGAGATCTGAGGATCAAGCTTTAAAGCCAGGTCAGGAAGAAAGTCAGTGAGACTCTTATCCCCAATTAATCACCAAAAAGCTCAAAGTGGAGCTGTAGCTCAAGTGGTAGAGTGCTAACCTTGAGCAAAAATAAATCTCAGGACCAGTGCCCAGGCCCTAAGTTCGAGCCCCAGGACCAACACACACACACACACACACACACACACACACACACACACATCATCATCATCATCATCATCATCACTAACAACAACAATACAAATGTACCAAGTATGAAATCAGCATTTACATGCTGAAAATGGCTCAAATACATAGCAACAGACAAGTCTGCTAATGTTAGTAGCTGTATCTTCAGAGAGACCCTACCCCCAGAGAAGTGCACATATGTAGCCTAAAACATATTTCAGGAGACACAGAGGTGTCTGTTAGAACGTTCTGGTCTGGGGGGAATGTTTTACATTTGTGCTATTCAGTATGATAGTCATTACCCACAAATATTACTGAGCACATGAAATGTGACAGGTACAACTATAAGAATTGAATTTCCAATTTTATGTGATTTTAACTACATTTAAATTTCAGTAACCGCAGACCTTGGGTTACAGCTCCTCATATCTGCTTTCTCAAAGCTTTGCTTTTGAGGCAGTTCTTTACTTAGTAAAGAACTAACAGCTTTGGCTGCCCCAGAGCTCCCAAATTAGAAGGAAGGCTCAAAGTCTTAACAAATAAAGCTTCTGTGGTGCTCGTTATGAAAGAAAATAAGCAGGAAGCAAACTGAATTCAACAAGCAAATTCTGGAAATACCGAGTTGTACAAATAATGAATGTAAGTCGTTAGATGTGTTGGAGAAAGAAACAGAGAAGGGATTAAATGCATTCTCTGACTGACCCAAATACCCTCAGCTGTCTGTGAAAGGAAAGCTTGTGTGAAGATTGAGGAGGGTCTGAAATAAAATGATGGGCCGCTGCCCATCCTGACAGGAAAAAATAACAAGTTTTAAGGGTGGTGCCCAAGTATTACAAGAAATATTTAATTTCAGTGGAACAATTCGCTCAGACTCGGGACTAGGAATCGAAACATGCAGCTTATCCGGTTATGCTTTGTGGATCTTACAAGGATGTGCTAAATAATGTGTTACATTTTTCTCACCCAAAATAGAATACAACAAACATATTCAAATTCAGTTTTTAAATGGTGTTCAAAATTATCGTGTCATGTAAGAAACGTGTACGTGTGGTCTTCTTTGGAAAAAGAGGTCTTTACAGATACGATAACATTAAGGATCTTGAGATGGAAAGATTATTATCCCAGATTGTCCTGTTCACCCTAAAAGTAACCATACTGTAGCCTTATCAAAACGGATGCAGATTTGAAAGATACCAGCCTTGAAGACTGAAGTGATGCAGGCACCAACCAGAGACTTGCATCCTTCTCTTTCCCACTTCTCCTTCCCTACCCTCTCCTCCCTTTTGTCCCCAGCCTCCCGGTGGAGCACAGGAGAAAGCTCTCTCGGCTCCATGGCAACTGCTTCAGCATCTCGCCCGGCCCCAGGCCGCCAGAGGACCGGAAGCAGCTTGAAATCTGGCTTCCCTGGGTGTCTTGCTGGGAGCACTGGGCCTGGCCTCCAGCCAGACCCACGAGATCTCACCCGGCTTTTCCCAGCCCAGGAGAGTCGCCGCGAGGCGCGGGAGTCCCAGGGACGGGAGGGTACACTGGGGACCTTCGTGCCCGCCTTCTCCAAGTGAGTTCCTTTCTGCAAAGATCCCTGGTACCCGGGCTCTGGGGACCTGGGCCTTAGGGCTCCTTCTAGACCATCGCAGGGGGTGCGGGTACTGGTTCCTCCATCTCTGGTTTTGAACCCAGAGCAGTGGTGGACACACACAGATTCTTCCCCTGGTGCCAAGTGGCAGTGTGTCGGATAGTGACTCTCTTGTCCCTTCCAGAAGTCTACTTTCGCCTTATAACCACCACCACCACCACCCCCATCCCCACCCCAGGTTCCTAAAAGATTCCAACCCTTCCCACCCATCTGTCTGGCCAGGGTTCACCTCCATGTGCCTTTGCAGATCTCTCCCTCCTCTGCCTCTGGGGCAGAGGTCACTTCTAGGTCCTGTTGACCACACAGCGTGGTAGAGGAAGAAGTGTGTGCCAGTCTGAATTCAGACCCCAGCTCTGCCCTCATAGCTTTGATGTGACAGATTCCTCACCTACAGAGGGCCTGCTGATCAATAATAACTCCTATGGTTTCTGTGAGAATTTAAATATGGTATTTAAGACATATATTATTTAAAACAACAAATGTTGAAAAATCCACACAGAAGTACTTCTGTTCTGAGACTATTTCCCTGTGATTTTTGCAGGAGACACGATAAAGAAATTGGCTCTTTGAGTCTTCCCATTAGGTGTTTTTCACAGGTTTCTCATTTCTGTCCTCTAGGAACCCTTTGCAATCCTAGATGATCTCTCTTTTTTTTTTCCCTAGATGATCTCTTCTGGTAGTATTTCCTCAGCCTCTAGGTAACTGGTTTCCAAATAAGTTGGGAATCACTCACAAACGTGAGGCTAGTGAGTTTAGTTCTTTGGTTCTTTCTTTGAAAGCATGGCTGATATTAAGGTTAGTGATGATGCTTTCCATAAGGTCTTATGTTTCTAAATCTTAGTTGTGTGATTCTGAGAAGTGTTTTGTCCTTTGTCATGTTTCTGCTTGTTCTTACAACCATACTCAAGGAGAGCTGCCCCTCCTTGAGGATTAAGGCCTTGCAGCCCTGAGCCATTACCACTCAAAAATGTCTGTGAAATGGAGTGTCATCAACTCACCTTCCACAAACTCCAGAAGAGCCTGATGAGGTTATTGCAGTAAAGATGGAGGAGGAAGAGCAGGGTTCTAGTCTCCACTGAAATAGCTGCTACAGCCCAGACACTTTCCGTCAGCATTTCAGGCATTTTCACTATCAGAATTCCCCTGGGCCCCGGGAGGCTCTGAGTCAGCTCCAAGAACTTTGTTGTTGTTGCTGGCTGAGGCCAGAGTTGTACTCCAAGGAGCAGATCCTGGAGCTGCAGGTGCTGGAGCAGTTCCTGGCCATCCTGCCCGAGGAGCTGCAGATATGGGTACAGAAGCACCATCCTGAGAATGGAGAGGAAGCTGTGATTCTGCTGGAGCAAGTGGAGAGAGAGGCTCATGGGCCAGCTGGGCAGGTAAGAAGGACACATGCAGATGAATAGGCACAATGGGTCCAGAACACAAGCATGTCATGGAAAGGAGAAGCTATTAAATTATATTCCTACTCAACACTCCTGAAATGTAGGCGGCTGAATGTACTCAAGGGGGTCCCAGTAAATAGATGTAACAGCTCTACCTTTTCCCTCCCTTTTCCTGGGTGGAGGACATATCCTGCATTTGTTCTCTGTTATTCTATCCTTGAGGCTATACCCAATTCCTTTCTTCAGCTTCAGTTAAACCTAACTATTCCCAGGTCTTTTTTTGGACTAAGAAAGGCCGCAGCTGTGGATGAGCTGGTAGCTTGGGAAATCACTCCGAAATTACCAAGAAGCCAGCGGAAGCCCTTGAAGCAGCCTCAGCGGCCATCGTGGGAACTGCACCCCTTAAGCCAGCATGGTGAGGGGTAGGGCTCTGTTCATGGTGGGAGGCGAAGGGCAGAGAACGGGGCACAGCCCACTACACTTATAGGCTGGTTTATTCAAAGGCATCAAATCTCCCCTCCTGTCTCTTTGCTATGGCACCTTCCACTGTTATTTGACCAACTAAATCAAGTAGCTGAACCTTGCTCTCGGGTATTGTGTGGAGTCATTAAATCTTCAGATTTTGAATCTTTGATGTCAACTCCATTGGGGTTTTAAAACATTTTAAAGCCCTTTTCACAAATGAGTTTGTATGTGGTGTTCCAATGCAGGAAACAGGTAAAAACATGGTTGCTCTGCCTAACGCAACAGGCAGGCAGTCTTAGCCCATAGGTCCCTCCAGGTCAGCATCGCTCCTATCTCTTTTCACTGTAGGCAGCCTCAGAAGTCCTTCTGTGGGGCTGCAAGATACATAGCCTAGAAACCACTGCCTCCTTGTTCCTTGGGCAGCTGCTCCTTTACATGGAGATATAGGAGCAAAATTGTTCCCTCCTGTGTTAAGATGACTTTGCTGTCATGTTGTTTTGGATACATTGTTCCTTGGCATCTAAACTGGCTCCCATTGCTTTTTGCATCAGTTGTAAAAGTGATCCAAAGAACTTCAGAAATTGAGGGGGAAAAAAACTGACCCAAAGTAGCTAGTATATGAATCTTTTGGGGATTGGAGTGTGGTTTAGTTGGTAGAGTGCTAGCCAGTGTACAAAAGCATCAGGTACCAAGTTTGAGTCCTGGTCTCAGATCTAAAAGAAAAAAAGAATCTTTTCTTTCATTGAAGGCATTTAAAAAAGAAGTGTAATGGGCCAGATGCCCATGGCTCATGCCTGGAATCCTAGCTACTCAAGAAGCTGAAATCTGAGGATCGCAGTTCAAAGCTAGCCAGGCAGGAAAGTCCATGAGACTCTTATCTCCAATTAAACACTAGAAAACCAGAAGTGGCACTGTGGCTTAAGTGGTAGAGCACTTGCCTTGAGCTGAAGAGCTCTCAGGCCTAGAATTCAAGCCCCACGACCACCACCACCAACAACAACAACAACAAAAGTGTAATGGTTGGGCACGGTGGCTCATGCTTATAATCTTAGCTACTCTGGAGGCTGACATCAGGATGATTTCAGTTGAAAACAAAAAGCTCATGAAATCTCTAATCTCAACCAGTAAGAAAACTAGGCATGGGGTACAAATCTATTATCCCAGCTATGTGGGAAACATAAGCAAGCAAATCACAACTCAGGTTGGCAGTGCATAAAAATGGGACCCTATTCAAACATTTAGGAAAGTTAAAAAGGGGACAAGGGTATGGCTCAAGCAGTAGAGCACCAACCCTAGCAAACAAAGGCACTGAGTTCAAACTCCAGATTATCAAGTAGATAAATAGGTAGGTAGGATAGATAGATAGATAGATAGATAGATAGATAGATAGATAGATAGATAGATAGATAGATAGATAGATAGAATGACCATTGTGAGGGGGAGCAGAGTAAGGGGCATGGATGAGTAGTAGTGTTTTATTAGAAGATATGTACAGCCAGGCATTGGTGGCTCATGACTGTAATCCTACTTACTCAAGAGGCTGAGATCAGAGGATCCAGGTTTGAAGCCAGCCCAGGCAGGAAAGTCTGTAAAACTCTTATCTTCAATTAAACACCAAAAATAAAATAAAAAGTCAGAACTGAGCTGTGTGGCTGAAACGGTAGAGTGTTAGCCTTGAGCAAAAATCTCAGGGACAGCATCCAGGCTCTGAGTTCAAGCCTCAGGATTGACACTAAAAAAGAAAAAGAAAAAAATGTATAGAAACTTGAAATAGAAAACGGAGTATTAGGATTCTACAGTACAATGCAGACAGAGCCAAAATCCCATTATGGGCTAACAGAATCGTCTCTTAAGTCCACAACAGATTCTGTGGTACTGAGTCATGTCTTATCAAGGTTTCTACAGATAACCTTAGTCACAGTGCTATGAAATGCTGTTGCCAGGACTTGGATAATGATAATGAAGTGTTAAGGTTACATTGGAATATGAGCTGTCAAAAAATGAATTTCGCAAAAAAAGATATAATTTATATCATTTCTAAAATAATTTTATCTACACCAGCAATAAACCTGTAATAAATGAGTATGCTATATTTATGACCAAATGTACGAAATGACTTAAATTCACTGTATAATAGCTATATTTAGACCCACACTAAATTGAATTTAATGTTGATTTAACTTAGAATTCTTTTGGCCAGTATCACAGGTTTTTTTTTTTTTAACATTATGCTTTTGACTAAGCCTTGAGAGGACCCTCCAAATCCCTGGTCATCATTTCCTTTCCATATCCCTTCAATCCATTTATATTATTGAAGATACAGGAACCCCCAGTAGTCATGGTCAAACTAGACAATTCATGTCCCTGGCCATGTGAATTTGCTGCTGCTGCTTCTGCTTCTTCCTCTCCTTCTTCCTCTCCTTTTTCTTCTTCTCCTTCTTCTCCTTCTTCTCCTTCTTCTCCTTCTTCTTCTTCTTCTTCTTCTTCTTCTTCTTCTTCTTCTTCTTCTTCTTCTTCTTCTTCTTCTTCTTCTTCTTCTTCTTCTTCTTCTTCTTCTTCTTCTTCTTCTTCTTCCTCCTCCTCTTCCTCCTCTTCCTCCTCTTCCTCCTCTTCCTCTTCTTCCTCTTCCTCTTCTTCTTCCTCTTCTTCCTCTTCTTCCTCTTCCTCTTCTTCCTCTTCTTCCTCCTCTTCCTCCTCCTCCTCCTCTTCCTCCTCCTCCTCCTCTTCTTCTTCTTCTTCTTCTTCTTCTTCTTCTTCCTTCTTCCTTCTTCTTCTTCTTCTTCTTCTTCTTCTTCTTCTTCTTCTTCTTCTTCTTCTTCTTCTTCTTCTTCTTCTTCTTCTTCTTCTTCTTCTTCTTCTTCTTCTTCTTCTTCTTCTTCTTCTTTCTTCTTCTTCTCCTTCTTCTCCTTCTTCTTCTTCTTCTTTTGTTAGTTGTGGGGCTTGAACTCTCAGCTTATATGTTGTCCTTGTGCTCTTCAGCTCAAGGTGAGCCACAGCGTCACTTCCAGTTTTCTAGTGGTTTATTGGAGATAAGAGCCTCATGGACTTTCCTGCCTGGGCTGGCTTTGAACTGCAATCCTCAGATCTCAGCTTCCTGAGTAGCTAGGATTACAGGCGTGAGCCACTGGCGCCCGGCTATAGCCACTTCTGTTAAACTATCACCATGAGAATTTCTAAAGTCCTTCAATTAAGATGCAAACTTAGTTGCCATAGTCACCTGTGAGTGAGTGGTTGTACAGGAGTACCAGGCACACCTGAGTTGGAAGGCATTCTGCCCCAAGCTAGATTTGAGTGACGACAGCCCATCCACAGCCATAGCCTCTTTTTCATAACACTAAATGTAATACAAAAATAGTACAGGGAACTTAGCCACCCGGCCAGTGCTATAAATACATACATAAATAAACATTTCTCATAGATGAGTGTCCTGTGTAGCCCTGAGCTGAGGTGCCAATTATCTAGACTATAATCTTCCCTTTTTTGTCTAAAGTTTATGTTTTTATTTTCCAAGTTCTTTTTTAATCCCTTGCCTTTCTTTAGCTCAGTCCTTTGCTTGATTATCGATTCACTTATCAGTACATTTTTATTTTATTGTTTTTCTTTTTGCTCATGTTTGACTCCTCTCCTTTCATTTGCTTCTCTATTTCAATAATTCTTCATCTCTTAGGTCCTTTCTTTTCTGCCAGAGTTTCACCAGTGTCTGGCCTATCCTTTCACCCATACTCACACTCTGTCTTTCTCTGATTGAACGCAGGTTCTCAAGCTGCTTGTGCAATTGCTCTGCCAGTTGGACTATGCTCCCAATCCAGCTTTGAATCTTTCTAGTTGATGCCTCCTCAGTATATAAATCTTTTCTTTTGACTATCATCTCAGCATCTTACACTTTTCATCTTCCATTCTGCAATGTTGTTTTACAAACAGGCTAGCTAATATTCCAGACAGACAGACAGACAGACAGCTATAATCTATTCTGAACTGGTCTATTCTCCTTTCTTTTTGATCAGAGAACTGATGATGACATGTGCTCTTATATTTATTGTTTCAGATGAAGACACCAAAACTATAAATGGGAAATCTGCTTCAAGGAAGAAAACTTTCTCAGGTGTGGACCTGCATTGTGATGTTTCTAGCACATTTCCTATGAATGCTTCCCCAAGTTTCACATCTAGAGGAACCTGGGAGCAAGATGGCAGGTTTGAAAGAAGACAGGGAAACCCCTCTCGAAGAAAACAACACAAGTGTGATGAATGTGGAAAAATCTTTAGTCAGAGCTCAGCCCTTATTTTACATCAGAGAATCCACAGTGGGGAGAAGCCATATGTGTGTGACCGGTGGGCGAAAGCTTTCAGCCAAAGTGCCATTCTGATTCAGCATTGAAGAACTCACACTGGGGAGAAGCCCTTTAAGTGTCATGAATGAGACAAAGCCTTTAGTCAGAGCTCTAATCTTTTCCGACATCGAAAAAGACACAGGACAGAAAAAGTCCCATCAGTGTGTCATGAGGGAATCAAAGCACATACTCAGAGCTTTCGCAGAATAAGAAAAGACAAGGTATAGTCACTGTTAGTTAGACTAATGGTTTTAGTAATTACCAGTTTCCAGGGTCATAAAAGCCATGGGAGAGAATTATAAAGTAGTTCATGCCAATATTTGCTTTTCTGCTTACAAGTGTAGAGTCAATTTCAGGAGTTTAAGATTCCAAAGCCTAATTCACTTTTTCATCCCTAAGCAACACTATTTTAGATATTTGTCCTTTTTAGCCAAGTACATTTTTCCTCGTTGAGAAGGAATATGTGCACTATTCAGCACAGAAATATCCTCCCCTATTTCATAACTTGAGCACTAGCATTATAAAGACCAAAGATTAAATCTTTTTTCATTTTTATTCTTAAATAATTTTTTATTGAGACTAAATGATTAAATAAGTTTCACAAATTTCACAGTATTGTGGGATAGTGATACTTAGTTAAAGTCACAAACATATTTTAACCTTCACAAGGCAAATTTTCATTATCATGGCCTGTAAAGTTTGTGAATTCTATAAGCTTGGACAATACAACTATTTCTTTTTTTAGTATATATTTTATTGTAAAGATACTGTACAGAGGGGTTATAGTTACATGAATAAGGTAATGACTCCATTTCCTATTGAGCATTGTTACCTCCTCTTTTGTTTTTTCCCTGCCATCCCTTTCCTCCCCACCTCCCCAACTCTTCCCCCCACCAAGTTGTGAAGTTCGTTTTCAACATAGTGTCTTGTACATCCCATTGTTACAGTGGGTCAGCCTGTGTCCTTAATATCACCATTTTTTTTCCGAGTGATATGTACATTTCTTTCCTTTTGCTTAGTGTCAGCCGTTCCCTCTTTCCCTTTCATTCCCTCCCTCCCAGCGCTGCCCTTTAGTTGCCTAGTTCATTTTCATCAATGTCCAGTGCAGCTGATGGGCCCCTCTGTTGTATATTTTCCCCTGTTTCCCTCTGATTCTGTGCCCTCCTCCTAACTTCCCTCAGATGGGCATATTTATATACCATATATGAGGTCAAGAAAACAGAGTCATTTAGAAATGATACAACAAATTAAGTAGAGGCCATTTGTTTCTTGAGTCCTATTTGCTTTGTTGTATCTCCTTGCATTTTGAGTTTAACATCCACACATCAGGGAGACCACATGCCATTTGTCTCTCTGCTCTTGGCTTACCTTGCTCAAAATGACTTTTTTCTAGTTCCATCCATTTCCCTGTGAATGCCATTATTTTGTCCTTTCTAATGTCTGCATAATATTCCATTGCATGTAGGTACCACAATTTTTGGATCCATTCATCTGTAATGGGGCATCTGGGTTGTTTCCATATCTTGGCTATTGTAAACAGTGAACAATGAACATGGAAATGCATGTGTCCTTGTTTCCTGGTTCCTGTTGCTCAGGGTAGATGCCTAGGAGTCGTATGCCTGGGTCATGGCAGGGGATGTCAATATTTGGCTTTTTGAGGTATCTCCAGACTGCTTTCCAAAGTGGTTGTACTTGTGTACATTCTCACCAACAGTGAAATAGGGTTCCTTTTTCTCCACATCCCCACCAGCATTTGTCATCGGCTGAATTTAGGATATGGGCCATTCTGACTAGGGTAAGGTGGTATCTCAGGGTTGTTTTTATTTGCATTTCCTTTATGATCAGGGATGAGGAACATTTCCTCATGTGTTTCTTTGCCATCTTTATCTCTTCTTCTGAGAAGTCTCTCTTAATTCCCTCCCTATTTAATGATTGGTTTGTTAGATTTGGGAGGGATTAGTTTCTTGAGTTCCCCATATATAATGGATATTAGGCCTTTGTCTGATATATTGCTGATAAATATTTTTTCCCAATTGGTTGGCTATCTTTCTACTTTGATAGCTATGTCTTTAGCTGTGCAGAAACTTTTTAGTTGAGTCTCTCTTCAATTTGTTCTGACCCTAAAACTCTGTTCAGGAAGTTCTTCTCTGTGCCTATAAGTTCAAGTGTCTCTCCTCCTCTGTCCTGCAGTAGTTTCAGAGTTTCAGGTTTGATGTTAAGGCCTTTAATCCATTTTGAATTGATGTTGGTGCATGGTGACAGGCTGGGGTCCTTTGCATGTGGCTGCCCAGTTTTCCCAGCACCAGTAGTTGAAGAGACTGTGTTTCTTCCTCTGTATGTCTTTTGCTCTCTTCTCAAATATCAGCTGACTGGAGGTATGTGATTTTATTTCTGGATCTTCTAATCTGTTCCATTGGTCTTCAGTTTATTTTTGTCTTTGTTATTATGGCTGTATGATAGAGCTTGAAATCTGGTATGATGATCCCTCCTGCATTGTTTCTTTTGCTTAGAATTGCTTGGGCTATTCTAGGTCTTTTGTTGTTCCATATGAATTTTTGGATTGTTTTCTCTATTTCAGTAAAGAATATCATTGGGCATGATCTTGTACTTAAAGAATCCCACGGACTCCACTCCCAAATTATTCAGGCTGAGCCAAAACTTTGGCAAAGTAACAGGTTATAAAATTAATCCTAAAAAATCAATGGCTTTTCTGTATGCCAACAATGAGAAAAGCAACTCCATTCGTAATAGCCCCACAAAAAATAAAATACCTAGGAATTAACCAAAGAAGTGAAGGACCTCTATGATGAAAACTTTAAAAACATGAAAAAGGAAACCAAAACAGAACTTAGAAAGTGACAAAACCTCCCATGCTCCTGGATTGGAAGGATCAACATCGTGAAAATGGCAATACTTCCCAACGCTATCTACAAGTTCAATGCGATTCTTATCAATATTCCAACCTCATTCTTCAAGGAAATAGAAGAGGCAATCCAAAAAATTCATATGGAACAATAAAAGACCCCAAACAGCAAAAACAATCCTTAACAGAAAGAACGGTGCTGGAGGAATATCAATACCAAATTTCAAACTCTACTACAAAACCATAGTAATCAAAACAGCTTGGTACTGGCACAAGAACAGACCTCAGGACCAATGGAATAGAATTGAAAACCCAGAAATGAACCTACAGACCTATAGCCATCTAATCTTCAATAAGAGAGCTAAAAAAATAGAATGGAAGAAAGACAGCCTCTTCAGTAAATGGTGCTGGCAAAACTGGTTAACTACTTGTAGAAAACTAAAGCTAGATCCTTATATAGCACCCTGCACCAGAATCAACTCCAAATGGATCAAAGACCTCGGAGTCAAAGCAGACACTCTGAAAACATTACAGGATGGAATAGGAGAAACCCTAGGTCTCCTTGGCACAGGTCAAAATTTTCTTAATAGAGACCCAGAAACACAACAAATCAAAGAAAGGTTGGACAAATAGGATTGCATGAAATTGCAGAGCTTTTGCATGGCAAAGGACATAGCTAGCAAGATCAATTGAAAGCCCAGGGATTGGGAGAAGATCTTCACTACCCATACAACAGACAAGGGTCTCATATCTAAAATGTACCTGGAACTCAAAAAATTAAATCCCCCAACAACAAATCTTCAAAGAAACAACTGCCAATAACTAAGTGGGCTAAAGACTTAAAGATAAACTTCTCTGAAGAGGAAAGAAGGATGGCCAATAGACACATGAAGAAGTGTTCAACCTCCCTAGCCAGAAAAGAAATGCAAATCAAAACAACCTTGAGATACCACCTCACCACAGTTAGAATGGCTAAAATCAAGAATTCTAATAACAACAGATGCTAGAGGGGATGTGGACAGAAGGGAATCTTACTGCATTGTTGGTGGGAGTGTAAACTTGTTCAACCCCTTTGGAAAGCAGTATGGAGGTTCCTCAAAAGACTCCACATATAGAGCTCCAATATGACCCAGCAATCCCACTTTTGGGCATTTACCCAAATGATCACAAACAAGACCATACTAAAGCTACCAGCACAACTATGTTTATTGCAGCATTATTTACCATAGCTAAGACATGGAACCAACCAAGATGCCCCTCAGTAGATGAATGGATCAAGAAAATGTGGTATATATACACAATGGAATTCTATGCCTCTGTCAGAAAGAATGACATTGCCCCATTTGTTACGAAATGGAAAGACTTGGAAAAAATTATATTAAGTGAAGTAAGTCAGGCCTAAAGAAACAAAGGCCCCATGGTTTCCCTTATTCGCAATAACTAGTATATGTCTGAGTCAAGCAGAAAAGGTCAGATAAGTTGATGTTAGGCAAAATGAACCCCAAGATAAATATTCAAATGTTTTTTCTTTCATGTGTTTGTTTCTACATATTTATAAGATTATTTCTTTGTTGCTTTGTATGTCCTTCCCCCACGATATAACCCCTGCTTTCACTGTATTTGATGTTGGTATAATTTGTGGAGAGGAAGGGAAAAAACAAATTGTTTAAATAGGGATACAGGTGTACCCATTACAACAACAAGATGTACAAGTCCTTATGTTGAAAAACGAACTTTACAACTTTGGCAGTGGTGGGGCGGCGAGGGAGATGGGGGTGGAGGGGGAGTTGGGAAGGGATAGGAAGGGGAAACAAAGGAGGAGGCAACAATGCTTGATAAGAAATGTACTCATCTTGCCCATGTAATTGTAACTCCTCTGTACACTATTTTCACAATAAAAAATCATTTTAAAAAAGGCATGCCATTGGGATTTTCATGGGAATTGCATTGCATTTGTATATCATTTTTGGCACTATGGCCATTTTCACAATATTGATTCTGCCTATCCAAGAACGTGGAAGGTCTTTCTTTTCCTGGTGTCTTCTTTGATTTCTTTCTTTAGGCTTTTACAGTTTTCATAAATAGGTCCCTTACATCTTTGGTTAGGTTAATTCCCAGATATTTTTTCTGAAGCTATTGTGAGTGGGGTTGTTACCCTGTTTTCCCTTTCTGCTTGTACCTTGTTGGTGTGCAGAAAGGCAACTGATTTTTGTAGGTTAATTTTGTATCCTACTACTTTGCCAAAGTGGTTTGTTCATAAGTTCTAGGAGTTTGGGAGTGGAGTTTCTGGAGTCGTTAAGGTATAATATATCATCTGCAAATAGGGATGGTTTCATTTCTTCCTTCCCTATGTGGATC